TTGGTGATTGTAGTACCGTGTGGTGCGTACTCGTGATGTACTAAGCCACTGGAGTCAAAAAAGGCAGTTAGCATGACCTTGACATTGCTGCGAACTTGCCTTGCTTTTTTGGGCCTCGGGGATGAAGGATGCTTCCACTGTGTTGACTGGCGCTTGGTTTCTGGGTCATATCCATAAACCCATGACTCGTCACCTGTAATCACTGTGTTCATAAAGTCGGGATCACCGTTCACAGTTTCCAGCATGTCTTGTGCGATCTCCAGACGAAGGTTTTTTTGCTCAAATGTTAGCAGCTTTGGTACAAACTTTGCTGAGACTCTCCTGAGGCCCAAGTCGTCAGTCAAAATTGATTGAATGGAACCAAAACTAATACTCACCTCGTCTACAAGCTCTCTGATCGTGATTCGGCGGTTCTGCATCACTAGGTTCCTCACTTGATCAATGATGGCATCATTTTTCGATGTTGAAGGCCTCCCTGAGCGTGGTTCACTTTCAACTGATAAGCGGCCATCTTTGAAGCGGTTGTACCACTCCTTTATCTGTGTGGTGCCCATCGCTTCATTTCCAAACACTTGTTTAATCTAGCGAATTGTTTCCACTTGCAAATCACCAAGATTAAAACAAAATTTTATGCAATAACGCTGTTCGACTTTTTCTGACATTTTAAAAAAAAAATAAAATCCGACGACACTCACTTGCACCTGTTCAATCATGAATGGCCTGACGCCGACTGACTTGTATTGGAGCTGTAGAAAAAAATGAGCATGCGCACTAGGCATGCTCACAACCACACATCGAGCCCCGCCCCCATAGCTGCGTTTGTTTGACCAATAAAAATTAAGGTCGGATACTTTTTGATCATACCTCGTATTAATATATTCAAAGATTTAGTTGACCCACTTTTAACTACATGAGAAACGCCATATTGTTTGCTCTGTTCAAAACTAAGTTAGGAACGAGGAGAGCTAGTGACGTCGTTGATGACGTAGGACCCCTGTCTATTCGACGAGCAACATTTATGTCATTATGACATTTATGTCATTTGAGAGAGGTATGAACTTTAATTGTTTGAAAAATTAACTCCAAACATAGTTTCTACAATCTCAATTGCTGCTGGCTTTTACTTTACTGTTGTTATGGCAGTTAGTTAAAAATAATTTAAAGACAGAATTCAAAATACTCAATATACATTATTGTTGTTATACATTTTACTGTAAGTGGGAGATGCGATGAAAATTATGATTGAAAACTGGGCTGTGAATACTGAAAGTTTGAGAAACGCTGGATAAAGGCATAACACTAGACTATTTTGTAGAGCTGCTAATAGCGTCATTTCATGGTTTAATTTTGTCAAAATAAAAATAAGTAAAATAAATCCTAAAAAAATGAAAACTATATTTTTTTCAATTATAATGATATGACGGTTTTGCATGAGCAAACATTTTGTTAACCACACTTTTACAGTTAAATAGAAAAAGATTAAAAATTTACCTTAATGGTACTTACTTTTTGATTAATTCATTTTTAAACGAGTATTTCCTGTATGCATTTTCAGATATGCACAGAAATTGGGATAATAAAGTTCTAAAAATTTAAAACTATTTTAATAAATTTTTCATTTATTGTTAAAATATATTGTATTTTTAGGTTAAAGCAAGAATGTGGACACCAGTTCACACCTAGAATTATCATTTCATTGAATGCAAAGTAAGACCATCATGTGGATAAAAATCATATTCGCGTCGTTGCTGCAGAATTAGGAAAAAAAGAATTTTCCAAAATCTCTTTTTTTATTGAATTCATTAAGAACGAATTCATTAAGTTTTCCCATTTTAAAAAAAATAGCTAAATTATTACTAACGAGACTAACTATTATTATCATTTTGAAATTACGGGAACATTTTCTTATCATGCAGTATGCCTTGACCAGACAACAATCGATCATTTTGAATGCTATTTCAGAAAAAATGAGATTACTCTGTCACTTCTTACTATTTTAATTTTTTTTACAGTCACTCGGTTATTATTTTTTGAAGTGAAACTTCTTATGCGACTTCCAACAAGGTTGCTTTAAACGTTTAACGCTACATTTTAATTGGCCGGGAAATCACGTGGTAGGATCCAGTTTTTCCTCATTTATTTCCATATTGTTTTGGTTTTCACTAGCATAAAAATAATAAAAGTCATAAAATTATTGTTTTTTCTATAAATATTTTAGTTTGATTTGATACACGTATAATTTAATAGGGTAGTATTTCTTATTTTCAAACTTAGTGGATAACAATTGTAAAAACTGAGTCAAAACAACCCCACGGACAATGCGACGGATTTAAGGTTATGTTAAGGTACGTCTCTTGTGAATATCAATTGATTGTTAGGTTTTCTCTTTTCTAATTGCCATTTACATTTCACCAATGCAGCCATGAGGGATATTAAATTATTTATTGCAAAATCTTTATTGCCACTATCCACTGCAGGTTCACAAACTCTGGCAGGCGTTACTGGTGAAGAAATTGATTATTGTGAGTGGCCTGTGATCCTTGCAGGAGATTTTAATGTGAATTTCTCGTTACCTGAAGCTGAAACATTATTAACCTTCCAATTTGGATTGGAAATGACAAATTTGGATTGGAAATGACAAATTTGGATTAGAAATGATAAATGGTAGGAATGATCCAACAACCAAAGGTGTAACTACTATTGATGCAGTTTTTGCAAGAAATATTGGAAAAATGGAACTCAAACATTTCGTATCTTACTTTAGTTATCATAATCCCATTGTAAATGTTATAGGTTTGGATATTTCTCCACTCGAAAATGATAATTAAAAGATGCGATCAATTGTTAATTGTAAGCATTGTTAATAAAGTTTGCCTTAAAGAAACAATATGATTTCATTAAAAACCAATTTCTACCCCTTCCTATTTCATTTCCACATTACGAAGTTTCACTTCTTCCGCGCGGAGGGACTCCACGCACTATTTTTTTATTTTATAAGTTTTGCATCCATTTGCATAAGTTTCGTAACACTTCATAAAAATTCTATAAAACAAATTATTTGAGACTAGAATTTTTTTTTTTTTTATGTTGAGATACAAATACTGTATGAGAAATTATAGGGCATCCAATATAGGCATTATATATGATAACTAGCTTTTCCTTTTAAAGCAGCTGTATGCAACACGCAGTATACATTGAAAATCAACGGAGTCTCTAAACAAACAAACGATAAAAAATGAAATCTACACTTTTCAACAATTTTATTTGAAAAATGAGCATTTCACTTTTGGATTCATAAAGCTGAAATCATCACATTGGAAAGCTTCTGAAAATTCTTCAGCATTTTGCATGATTCCAGTCATCCTATAAAACAAATAAACACACACCGAAATCATAATATAATTGAAAACCACATTATTAAAGTTACATTCAAAAGTATAATTTAAAATATCAACCCCCACATTTCTAAGAATTTAAAAATTGTTTTTAAATATGTAATTTTAACCGGAAGTAAGAACTTCTACGTATGCATTTCTTAAACACAGCATTTTTAGTCATATTATGAGCTAAACATACTAGTTTACAGCTAGTTCATTTTTAAACCTATGTTAAATGTTTATAACGACCATTTTTTTATATTTCATTTATACACAGTAAAAAATTGCGGATGAATTTGCAGTAAAAAGTACCAGCAATTTAGGTGCATAATCCATGTAACCGTAACATTTTATACCGTAATTTTCGCAGTAATATTTATTTAAATACAGTGATTTAGCAATTTTATAGTAAATACTACACTAAAATTATGGTATATCAGATTCTTTATCCCTGAAAATTTTACAATAAAAATGTATTTTATGTTAAAAAGTGCCAGCACTTCGAGTGCGTGAACTTCTTACAGTAATTTGAGTCAGAATTTTTACATACAGTGTACTGTTTTAAAAACGATTTGCTTACCTAAATCTTGCAGCAGCATGCTTATCTTCAAGATCCATTTCTACCATTTCAGTTTCACACCAGAGCTTTAAAAAACAGTAAAGATAAGAGAAAATAGTCTTTCTTTTAAAAATTTAATTAAGTATTCTATAAAATTATAAAAAATATTACAAGCTAACATTAAATTAATTTGCGAGTTTTTATTCGCAATTAAAACTTCTACGTTTACAAATTTTAAAAATTTCTTAACATGATTACGAACAAAGATAACTTCAAAAGTTACAAAGAAGTGTTTTTAAAGATGCATAGAGAGTTCAAGAAAATATATAATTACAACAAAGAAATAAATAAAAAAAATTTTAAAAAAATATTTATAATATTAATGCAAATCAAAGCGTAATTATTTTTTGATCGCATTGTATTGACGCAGTAAAAGAAATAAACTATTTAAAACTTATGATTAAACTGTTTATTTATTTTCAATACAATTGAAATTCAGGGTATTTTATAGATTTTGCATTCCATTCAAAGTGAAATACAAGGTAAATTTTTTAATGAAAGCTAATGATTAACTAACGATGTATATTTACCTGTGTGATTAAGATGTAATATAATTGTCTTGTCGAGTAAGGGAATTCAGGCACACAAGTTGGTGAAAATTCATCCGTTAACAAGTGAACAGCCTACAATTAAAAACAATTTTTTGTTAACTGTAAAAGCTTGTACCTCCATAAATGTATGTAGTACTGATTTCTTTTTTCTGTTGCATGAGATTTTTGAACCTATCTCAGATATTTTCACGTCACTGATTTCAAATTTGCAATCTGTTTCTCTCTATTAGCTACAGTTTTCATGCAATTTGATAATGTATTCCTAACCAGGATTTCTTAAAATTTATCCGAGTGAATACTGGTTGCCTACTTTTCTGTAACGTAGGGAGTAGTAGGAAGAAGGCAAATCTGCATTTTTTAAATCTGCAATCTGTTTCTCTCTATGAACTACACTTTTTATGTGATTAAATAATGTTTTCCTAACCAGGATTTCTTATAATTTATTCGAGTAAATACTGTTTTCCAACTTTTCTGCAGAGTAGGGAGTAGTAAGAAGGCGAATCTGCATCTCAAATCTGCAATCCGTTTCTCTCTTTTAGCTACAGGTTTTATGAAACTTAATAATGTGTTCAAACCAGAATTTCTTAAAATTTATTCGAGTAAGTACTGTTTTCCTACTTTTCTGCAACGTAGGGAGTAGTAGGAAGAAGGCGAATCTGCATTTTTTAAAATCTGCAGTCTGTTTCTCTCCCTAAGTCACAGTTTTTTTGAAATTTAATAATGCATTCCTAACTAGATTTTCTCAAAATTTATTCGAGTTAGTACTGTCTTTCTACTTTTCTGTGAAGTAGGGACTAGTAAAAAGAAGGTGATAATACATTTCGGTTTATGATGCTATATGCTAATGTTATATGTTTTTTGTCTTAAACGTTATTTTATAAGGAGCAGAAAAATATATAAGTATCTATCTAAACCAACACGTTCCTTAAAAACTTGCACACTAACACAAAAAATAAAATAAACCAAAGACGTCATTTTGAAAAAAATCTGTAGCTTTCGGATGAAAATCAATTTCTGACTCAAAATCCCCACACTCGAATTGGGCAAGAACAAGCTCTTTTTTAAAAAAAAATATAGTCAAAACTACCTGACTATAATAAAATATGGTGAGGTTCTAAAATCTTAAAACTGGTTCGGTGGGAACACCAATAAGCTCTGTAATTTTTACTGAAGCTCTTTGGTAATATGATTTAAGTAAAAAAAATTAAATTTTATTTTACAATATGTAATGAAATTTGGTAAAAGTGGTAAACTATGGTAATATTGTCAATGATATCTTAGCATGGCATAGAAACCACTTATTTGATTTAATTTACTTTACAGTTTCGTATTTTTTACGAATTGTGGGGTAATAAGAACTATAATTTTGAAAATCAGAATTTCCAGTTACCATGTGGATGGAAAATTTGCCTAGTGAATGTTTAAATACCGTATATGTACGTATTACTAGAATTATTATTTTTTTTTTTTACCAGAAATGTCATTACCATACAGTAGGGCAATTTTACCAGAATTTTTTTCTCCGTGAGAAATTTGTATAAATGCAAAAAAAAAATTTCCCTTATGAAATTATTATAATAAGTACTGGGAAGGAGAGACCTACAATGACTTAATTTGAAAGATCGTATTTTTCTTTTACAATATTACAAATCATGGAACCACAAAGATATGTTACTTAACTAATATAACTTTCACTAAAGTAATTTCGTAATCAAAAATGCACTTTTTCTAAGTTTATATTTCTTTATTTTTATCATTTTCACTTATTTATTTTTGACGTATCATTTCAAAGCGCTCGAAAAATCACTTATTTCGAAAATATACTCTGCATAAACAAGAAAAAAAACTGGTGTAATTTATGTAAGAAATTTATTAAAAATAAATTAACATTTAACATAAAAAAACTAAACAAATCAGCATTATTTTCTGCTGTTGTTGTTGTCTTATGCTACTTGACAATACCTACAAGTCCTTCCATCAATCCACAGATTAATTTTGCCCTGAACCAGAGCACGATCAATATCTGATCCAAAAGCCCCAGAGGTATTGTTTTTGGAACTTGGAGAATTTTGTGTCCCCGATAGATTTAGCGTGAACCAGTCCCCATTTTGTGCACGGTCTTCGGCCCGCGGGGATCGAACTCACGATTTCTTGTATATGAACCCATTACTTCATTCTCTCCAATTATCCTCAGTCTGTACAAATTTACTCTGCATCATTTTTTTCTAAGAGTTTTATACAAAAATGTATGTTTAAGAGGTTTTTCCAAGGTTAAATAACACATTAAGCTAGGAAAAAGCTGTAGTTTCTTTGCTGGAATGTTTTTAAATTGGTACGCGCTAATAACACTGTAGGCTCTTTGAAACATTTTTCAAGCATTCGCCCATAGCTTCCTCAATCATGATCTAAAGTAGTAAGAGACTTACGACAAACGGTCTTTAAAATGTTTCTTGGCAGTGAAACTGCGGATTTTCTTTCCTTATTTATCACCAGTTTTAATCCGGTATCACTATCAGTCATGTGTCTAGAAGTTCGATTATCAGTCAAGTTAGCAAAACCGATCACTCACGTCAGTGTCCATTTTAACAAATAATGAGAAATAAGTATATCTTGGAAGTGAACCTATGAATGTTTTTCATATGTATTACTGATTTAACCAATTTCATACACGATAAAAAGGTAGCATTGAGAAAATTCACACTAAAATGAAATAACATTAAAAAAGGAAAGGGAAAATAAAACACAAATAATACCTTTTCAATAAGTTCAATAGCAATCAAATCTGCAAGATTTTCTTCGAAAGTTAACGTACCATTAACCTGGGGAATAAAATGAGGTACTTTTGATTCATGAATCTATCTAAGGTAATTTTGTAATAGATAACAGAGTATTAATCAAGAGCGATATATACACCGAAGAGCCATTACATTGTGACCACCCTCCATCTATAACAATGGGCTCGCCCATGCTTTCATGGTTTCTCGCCCAGGAACAATATTTTCATGGGGCACATTAGCACCCATAATCCTCATAAAACAATCCCTGACGTCTGTAAGCTACTTGAACATAGTTGGAGACCACGTTTATCTATTAACGGCAACAGTTTTTCCTGCGGGGGATGATATTTACCAACAGGATACTGCACCATGTCATAAGGGTCGAATCGTCATGGATTGGTTCGAGGAACATTCCAGTGACTCTCAAGTCATGTCTCGGCCCCCAAATTCACCTGACCTTAATCCAATAGAGCATGTGCGGTCCTACTTGGGAAACCAAATTCGTGCTGCCACGCTACCCCCTCGCAATGTAAGAGAATTGCAGGACCAGTTGGTGAGCTCTTGGTACCAAATACCTCAGACTACCTACCAACACCTTGTGGAATCAATGCCACGTCGGGTGTTACCAGGTTTGAGGGCTAAAGGTGGTCCTACATGTCTAGCAGGGTGGTCATAATGTAATGGCTCTTCGGTGTATTATATATACGTACACCAACCGGGTCCGAATTATGTGAACCTCAAAAAAGGNATATATAATATGTTCTTTTTAGGAATCATTCCTTTACGTCGGTGACATTTCAATAGAAAGAATAATTTTTTAGATAGGTAATAAAACACTTTAGCAGCCTTCTAATCTATAAGCAAATAGATTTATGATAAAAAAAAAGAATGTAATAAAGGAGAAAATTTGAAACTTACAAATAAATCATGAAACTTTTGAGCATACCATTTAAAGACATTTTTGTTTGGAGCCATGCTGATTTGAGAAGAATGCTAAAATATCGAACATTGTTTTAGATGCAAATTTATGTAAAAAAAGAAAAACTAAGTGAACAATAATTAATAAGTAAAAAAAAAAATTAAAATTATTAATTCTTTATAATTAAAATTATGAGTCTCATAACCGGTGAGGAAATATTCAAAATGAGGCATTTGGTTCAATGACATGTCAAAAAAAGGTGTCAAAATGAAAAGTCAAATGAAGTATTTACTAGATAGTCAGCAGACATAAAATTAGCGGTTACAACTGTATGCATCTTAATCAGTATTTCTTCAAAATAAATAAATAAAGTGCTAAAATAAAATATTTATATTTAAAAAAATTAATAAGACATTTTTCTGTACTATTTTAATATTTATAACAGTAGCAATGAATAATCAATTCACCAATGAAAATATTTATTTTCCTATCATATGAAATCACATGATACACCAAAAATTGATTGCTTTTGATTATTCCTTCAAATGCTGACAGAATCAGTCTTATTGAAAATGAAACAAAAAAAAAGAAAGAGAAACGTAAGTAACTTAAATATAATATTGCAAGTTTAAAAATAAAGCAAGTTAAAGAACATTTAACTAAAGTAGAATAACGTAAGTAAAAAGGAACAATTTAAGTAAAAGAAGTTAATTGAAGAGGACGCCTTATCCGGAGAGAAATTTTTCGTCCCAGATTCTCTTTCAACGCTATAATTAATTTAAAATTTAAAGTAAAAAAAAAAAGTGAGTTCAGACAAATTTAGAGTAAGCAATAAAGTTTGAAATACGAAAAAAAAAATCGTAAAATATCCAAATGAATATAAATTATAAGATAATAACTTAATACTCGATACTTATTACTCAATAGAAAAGTTCTCTTTCTGTAATTTGTTTGTGTTTTGATTTTTAAATTTGTTTTTCGGCGATTGAAACTTTATGACTTACTCGTGACGAACTTCATGACTTTGTCTGAACTCACTTTCATAAGTTCAGACAAACCTTAAGTAAGCAACCAAGTTTAAAATATTATTAAAAAAAACCCGTAAAATATCCAAATGAAAATAAATTATGAGATAATAACTTAAAACTCAATACTTATTACTCAATAGAAAAGTTCTCTTTCAGTAATTTGTTTGTGTTTTGATTTTTTAATTTGTTTTCGGCGATTGAAACTTCATGACTTATTCGTGACGAACTTCATGACTTTGTCTGAACTCACTTTCATAAGTTCAGACAAACCTTAAGTATGAAATAAAGTTTAAAATATTAAAAAAAATATCGTAAAATATCCAAATGAAAATAAATTATAAGATAATAACTTAATACTCGATACTTATTACTCAATAGAAAAGTTCTCTTTCAGTAATTTGTTTGTGTTTTGATATTTTAAATTTTCTTTCGGCGATTGAAACTTTTTGACTTACTCGTGACTAACTTCATGACATTGTCTGAACTCACTTTTTCTTTAATTTAAGTTTTAAATTAGTAATGGAGGTGAAAGAGAATTTGTGACGAAAAGTTTCTTCCGTGGTAAGTAAAAGAGATAGCTTAACTACTTAAAATGGAATAAAAAAGAATAAAAATGCAAAAGATTTAATAAATGCATAAAACCATGCATAAAAGTTAATAATGAGTGCATAAATGAGTTGAACATTAATTATTAAAACATGCAAATGAACTATTTCTATCATGCACTTGAGCTGGGCTTTGAGCTGTTTTGCAAACTGAGGAACGTATGACAAACCAGTTATACCAGTCAAAGAAAGAATTTCTGTATTTTGCTTCGAAAATCACGGAAACCAGGCAATTGTACAGGACGTACAAAAAATGACCGATTATTTGAAAAACGAATAAATGTAGAGGAAGAAAGATAAGAACGGCTCTCTCTGTTTTGCACAGGAAACCAGGACCTTTCCTGACAAAATTTCAAAATTAGTTATAAGGTTCCTCAATATATATAGTTAGCGCTTTTAACTGATAAAAACTGTACAACTATGTTTTCAAATAATCACTATTTGCTGCAACAAAATGTGCTGCATGGTCAGGAAATTCAGACAGTTACGCAAATATGTCAGTTGTAATGATCTAATATGTAGAAAAAATATTTGTTTTATAGCCTTTTCAACAAGTTAACGGACATTGTAACTACAGTTGAACCTCTATTTAACGATGTCGCTAAATTCCGATTATAAGTTCGTTATATGGAAAATTCGTTAAATAGAAAATCACCTTTTAAAATGCTTAAACAACACAAAACAGGTTTTTTATTCATAAACACTGGGCATAATTAAATTAAAAAAGCTATTGATGTACCTTTATCTTGCAAACTAGTACCTACTATTTATTTTATAAATCTTAACCGCAAAAGAAATCTGTATGAAACCAAGAATAGAGAAAAACATTTTACAATCACTATCATACTACATGCATTTTCAACTAAAAAAAGCTAAATGTATGTATAAAATTATAGCGGCATTTATTATAAAGTAATTTTAAACATACATTACCACACGAGCTCTTAGGTTTAATTGCCATTGATAAAATCCGTTAATTTGGTTTAAGTTTTTTGTTTGAAATACAAATGAAAAGGGAAAAGAATTTTACTGCTTTCTCTAAGATAACTTTTAGAGAAAGCAGTAAAATATTACATAAAGCAGTGGCTTCGAAAATTAATTCACAGTCATTTACTCCCATAAAATGCGTTAACAAGTTTGAAATGCTCTGAAATATTTTTAAAAATAGCGTAAGCGGATCTCAAAGAAAAGTTCGTTAAATCGAAAATTCACTACGCTTTCTGAAAGTTATTTCACAAAGAAATTTCCAAAATGTTTTTGGTTCCTCAAAAAAAAAAAAAAATCGTAAAATAAATAAAAACGCAAAATGAAAGTTCGTTAAATAGAAGTTCTGCTGTATTTTTAATAAATGGTGGAAATATATAATTGGTTTCATAAGCAGAAGGCAGCAAACCGAATATCTTTTTCTCATTACATATTTATAATAGATTTAATAAACTGTTTTTTACTTTTAGACATCTAGTATTTTTTTTACAATTTTCAAGTGAATTAAATGTGACGTATACTCATGTTGGTAACTAGTAATTGAGAAATTTTGAGAAAGAAATTATGCTATTTGAATATTTTGGCCAATTGTTATTATTTTTGGGATATATTTATTAAGTCAAAATTCTCCGATATTTGTTTAGGATTTATAATTTTATGTACACACATTGTCTTCGCCTTTTGTAGTATGTATATTTTATTGGAAATGTATATTTTACTGGAAAAAGAGCAATTACAAACCTTTTTCTCATTTTCTTTTTGTGTAAAATTTGAATATTGTCCAATAAGGCAAGTGGCTGTTGAGTTTATCTTCTGTAAAGCTTCATCAGAGATTTCATTTGTTTCTAAGAGAAAAAAAAAATGACGACTAAACTATAGATTCTTTAAAACAAATCTTTGCTTATTAGTGAATAAAAACATTAAATACGTTTGCTAATATTAGTTTATGCATTCGATCAGTTTATTTTCAATAATGTTATTTGATACGGAAAACAAGGCTATACTGTGAAATGCCAGCTTATGGCCAACAGTATAAGACAAGCGTTGCTAATTTGATGAAATGACACATCAATAATTGCTCTTATATACATCCAATATCATTCAGAGTGTTACTTAATGGCCACCCTTAATGCATATTTTCAGTATTTTCCGGAGAAAATATGCAGATTAGGTATCATATAATAATTTAATATTAAAACCAACGAAAAACAAAACGCTGTCAAAAACTAAGGAATCAATGCTGCTGAAACTATCCAAACCTGTTTGTACTTCGTTGCATTAGGTAATCGTATTCACTTTGTTGTTTTTATCCCACTTTCTCCTGTTTAAAGATTTAGCAGACCCTGATAACGTTTCTGTTTTTTTTTCTTCAATTTATAAAAATATTAGATTAAATATAATCTGCGATCCTCAATCTGGGATTTTTGTTTTCTTTTTTAACTAGGAATCTAAATGTAATTTAAGTGCTGTCATTACAGAACACCCAGATGAAATGTCTGCCGTAAATGTTTCTCGGATTCCATCTTTATATTTATTTAAGCGTATTGCACTAATTTAATCACTATTTTTTAGCACACCATATGAAACACAATTTATACCAGTGGTTTTCAAACTGTGAAACTAAAACATTTTGCAATAACAGGGCAAATTTCTTCAGTATACTGAAATATAGGAGTGACTTCTTCCGAAATTATGATAAGCCGCTTTCTTGATATTGCAGTATTCTTAACCCGCAAAAATATAGATTCTACATAGATCTTGAATCATAACATCGTATTAAATTGCTGAAATTTCAATCGAGTGTTAAATAGAACCACATATTAATTCAACTTGAGCCAAGGTGTCGAACAATAGCGTTCAAAAGCTTATTACTTTGGTTTAATTTGGCGGTAGGGTTTACACTTTAAAAGTAAATTTGCAGTAAATGTGAAAGATATTACCATTACTTCTAACACTGTAAAAAAATATAAGTGGTGATAAAAACTTCTCGCGTTTTCTGAATTTTAGGAAATTAAAAATGCAAAATAATTATATCAATTTGATTTATAATTGGTATTTTATGATGCGAATTACAGCACAAATTGAAAGAAGAGACAAAAAATATCAAAAGCATAAATAATTTTTTTTTTTTTTGAAAAAATAATAATTCAATATTTAATAGTTATACGTTTTGAATGAGGTAAAACTCTAAGCATTTTAATCGTCCAACGTATAACGAGAGAAAATTTCAGTGATTGCTGTGTTAAGTGGCGTATATCATCAATTATGTAATTATCTCAAATTATGTAATTATAATTATTCCTCGCTATATATCCTTAACAGGAAAAGTAAATTATATTTCCATTATTACATTTTGTCATGCATAATTACGCGCAATAATTTTTTTCACTTTTCATGTTTCTTTTAGGCTTGTCACTGGCTAATTGAAGAAAAAAAATGATTTTGCCTTTTAAGTCACTTGTAAAGGAAAATAAATTATTTTAAATCGACAACATTCTTTACAAGGAAGAAACAAATTGAATTCTTTAATAAAACATTTAGTTTTTAAAGTTGCTGTAAAGAAAATGCGTTTAATTTGTATAAAGAATCGATACTTAACTATTTTTCATTCCTATTTGTTTATGTCGTGTTGCAACATGAAAATATATCACAAAAATACCATAAACTTTTCTATTTATTTTGAGCTTTATAATATTTTTTTAATTTCCACAATTATTATAAAGAAAAAGATCGAGATCATCTGATCTCTGAATTTATTTCAAAAGTATGCGAAGAAAGAAAGAAAGGAATAGCAAATACCTATTAGAGGATGAATAAGAAAAGTATGGTGGCATCACGATAGTGATGATTGCATGAATGATCCTTAATATAACGAGTGAATAAAGGAAGAAGAAAAAATTAGTGGGAGAGAAATTAAACAATTTAATGAATTAGTATAACATCAGCAATTTTTGACGAGTTGGTGATTTATGATTCGTTAAATTCAGGGCCGGATTAACCTATAGGCACATTTAGGCACGTGCCTAGGGCCTACGAAAATCTTGGGAGAAAAAAAATTTGTTGACAAAAATAATTTAGCTTTGAAAACAACAAATGTATTTTGCACAAAATTATGAAGATACAAATAAAAATATAATATTTTTCGGTAATAAATTATTTTGCAGAATCTTATGATCTAATATTAATTGTAAAAAATAGTTAGAAAATAAATTGTTAAAAAATAGTTTTTTTTAGCTATTCTTCTTTTAGATATAAAACGATATTGAGAAAAAATATGTATTAATTATATGTGCTTGTGGAAATTATCTGTAAAGATTTAGATGATTTTAAAAAATGTCTTTCCCTTTCTCATTTCATTATGATTACAAAAGCAGCCACATACAGTGCTGCCATCTAGAGATTTAGATATGCATTTAAACTTTTAGATAAAGTTAATCCATCCTTTCTTATTTCTTTTCGATTATAATATGAGCGGCAACTTATAGTGCTGCCATCTATAAATTTAGATACATATTTCAACTTGTAGTTATTTAATAATATGATGCTTTCAAAATATATAATTATTTTTTATGATTTAATGAGCAAACTTCTTCATTTAAATCCAGAAAATTAATAATTGAACTAAAAGAAAAGTTAATCCGATCCGTATTTATTCAAATCCGACTGATTAATGATTACTAGGATGAACAAAAAGTTAACCTAAATAACTTTTGACCTAATATTCGAATTTCGACTTACTGAGGTGAAATTTTAATATCTTAACGAGCACTATTTTAACACGCTACTTAATTATTACTATTTATGAAATTGGTTGGGTATTTTCCGATAAGTAAGAACGAAGATTGTTGTATTTTTTAGCTTTTATTTCTATGAAAACTATGTACAAAAAATTTATATTCCAAATTTAAAATTAATTTGAATTAATTGTAATTAACTTTTAATAAATAAAAATTGTTAAATTAAAATTGATTTTTTAATTAATTATTACTAATTGCTTTTAATTTTTAAATTAAATTAAAATTAATTTGCAATTTACTCGACTGCATAATTTTACAATTAGTAATAACTATACTTCTATAATTTATTAAACAAATCTTAAACACCACACTTAAATAGTGCTAACTAAAAATTTAATTAAACTTTCCTAAAAAAAAGGAGATTTTGAATAATTACATTCACGGGGTTTTGTTACATATTTTTTTCGATTGTATTATTTCAGTCATTAAGAAATGTTTTATTACAATAATTTGAGGGGAACATATTAAATACACTACTTAATTAATACTGCACCATTAACTGACTAACTCAAATGATTTCGCAAAAAATACTCAAAATTTGTAAAATTCAATTATTTTTTATTTTGGGGGGAAACTATTCTCCTTAATTTGTTAAAAATTTTGCATTTTTATAAATTTTTTAATAATGCTCAATTATTCAAGAATTATTAAATGATTAAATTATTGAACAATTATTAAAATATATGATGAAAATATTTGAGAGTTTTTATACTTAAGTACAAAGTATTTTTTTTTATTGCGGAAATAATCCCATTACTGAAATGTTAATAAAACAAAAAAGAATTTAGGAAAATTTATCCGGATCTAGACTTGCTTAGCAATGCCACTAAATGTCAAGCCATTTGTAGAAGTAATAACTTGTTCCGCACTTAGTAAACGTCATTTTAATTCTATTTTTTAATTTTATTGTAAATATTTTTAAATAATGGGAGAAAAATATAAAACACCTTTTAACTTGTAGAACTTTATATCCCGTTGTTCTTCGAATAAAATATAGTATGACTTTAAANAAAAAAAAAAAAAAAAAAAAAAAAAAAAAAAAAAAAAAAAAAAAAAAAAAAAAAAAAATACTCGCTTAAAATATGCATTTCTGAAACTTAAAAAGCAATTTCATAATGATAAAGAAACTTATTTTTGAAAACATTCCAAAGAAAAAACTTGAATACTTACTGAAATAAAATATTAATTCGTGGCCAATTTCGTGAGCTACAACAAATCCTAAAGAAGCATAATTCATCCATCTAAACACAATTAGTTAATTATCAATTAAAAAAATTGGTGAAATTGCAAATTTCAAACTATCATACATGATAACTTGTAAAATTTCTTATTTCATCATTTCAGATTCATTCACATATTTATTCCATGCAATTCATCAGCGTTTTCTCTTAATAATTAAAATAATTTTGAGTTCAAAATATTTATGCAGATTTTACTACATAATTTACTTATATTGCTCAAAATTATTGATATTTACAATATTTTAAATATGATTATGTTTTTGACAGCCGTTAGTAAAACTATATTCATGATGCAGTTTCAATAAAATGCTAAAAGTGTAGTTTCCCTTTCCATCAGTTTTCTTTTCAACAAACACATTTTAAAAAAAATGTTTTTTGAAATTGCATCAGGAATATTGTTTTTATAAGGCAATATTCACGATACAATTTCAATAAAGTACAAAAATGTAGTTTTGCACATAATGCCATTTAGTATTCCTTCAATAAATACATTTCCATAAAGTGCAAAATGTTCTACATGCAATTCCATTGGTTTTTCTTTTAATAAATACGTATTAAAAAATGTTTGTTGAAACTGAAATTCAATAAAGGGCAAAAAGTGCAGTTTTACATATAATTCCATTAGTTCTCGTTTCAGCAAATGCATTTCAAAAAATGTTTATTATTTATTTTCAAAATAATCTATAAAAATAGTTAAAATAAATATTAAATGTTTAAGAAAAAATTATAAAATTTGAAGAAAAAAAAATTAATTGGGAGATGTTTTTAAAATTTAAAATTCTAAAGAACTAAAATATGATTTGATTTTATACATACCTGGGCCGCAGGGAATCATAAACTGGTGGAACTAATATTCCAAACAATAGATCTGTGAAAAGGAATGTTCATTTAAATGCTATGGGAAACATTCTCGATTAGATGTATATTCAAAATATGATTAGATGTATATTCAATCATATTTTCTCGATTAGATGTATATTCAAAAGAGAAAAAAAAAAAAATACAATGTAAGTTAAAGAAAGAGAGAAAGAAAAAAAAAAGCATCATTTATCCTTTTTTTTTAGAGTAATTTGCATCCGAAAATTAATCTTAATTTTACTATTAAACTTCTAACCGAGATGAAAAAGAATACGTTAAGGATATAACGGTGTCAACTTAAACGTTTAATCACATTTTTAATTTTTAAAAGAAACCATACATATCAATATCCTGGTCTTAAGCGAGAGAAAAAGGAATTAAAATAAAAATATTTAATAAATTTTATTTTAGCTAACAAAATTTCATTTATTCGTGGTGGATTGCGTTTTACTGCTTTAAACAATATTATGCTATTGTGGTGAACCACCTTCTCACCAGATGGCGATGAGCTCTGCTCGCCAGGTGGCAGTGCAAAACATTTCCCTCAACCTTTTTATAAGATGGCAACATCTCTTGTGTTCAAACTTTAGTTTCCAGAATCTGGCAGCAGCTCAAGAAATGCTGCTGTCAAGAACATTCACCTTTTTTAAAAATGCTGTTGTCGTTAATCATGTCTGTCTTTTACATTGTAACTTAACTTTTTTTAATTATTATTAAACTGTTGTGATTATTAATTTTATTGAATCAATTTATTTAATATCATTTAATCTAATCACCACACCATTATATCTGTACGTAAATGAAATCTTATGAATTTTTAATGTTATGCAGGGTGTTCCGTTTTGGCATCCCTTAATGCATATTTCAGAATCTTTAAAAAAAATCAACAAATTATTCTTATTTAGGGTCAAAAAATAAAAATAATCTAAGAAAAAAACATAACTGAAATAAAACGTATGCCTTAGAAAACACTGAGGTCATGTAGAAATCCCTCCAAGTTTCATTAAGCAATCAACCGGGTTTTTGAAATTTTCTTACCCCACCTTTCTCGACAGTAATTCTTCANACCATATCAATATCCTGGTCTTAAGCGAGAGAAAAATGAATTAAAATAAAAATATTTAATAAATTTTATTTTAGCTAACAAAATTTCATTTATTCATAGAGGATTGCGTTTTACTGCTTTAAACAATATTATGCCATTATATCTGTACGTAAATGAAATCTTATGAATTTTTAATGTTATGCAGGGTGTTCCGTTTTGGCATCCCTTAATGCATATTTTAGAATCTTTAAAAAAAATCAATAAATTATTCTTATTTGGGGTCAAAAAATAAAAATAATCTAAGAAAAAAACATAACTGAAATAAAACGTATGCCTTAGAAAACACTGAGGCCCTCCAAGTTTCATTAAGCAATCAACCGGATTTTTGAAATTTTTTTACCCCACCTTTCTCGTCAGTAATTCTTCAGATTTCGATAGAATTTTTGTTTCTTCCTAACCTAAATGCTATTTAGAGGTCAATAATGCGCTTCTGACTAAGTTTATATAAGTCTAATCAGAAATTGAATCCAATTAACAAAAGCAAAAAACAAACAAAGAGGTAAATTAACTATTAAAACATTAAATCAAAATGGAAAAGCGCCTAAGGCAGCTAAAACCAAATTTGCTTTATTTGAATTTAGATATTCAAACAAACATGAAGCAGGAAAAAAGTAATAAAATAGAATATACTACAGGAATAGAATACAGGAGCCTTTCTGTTGTCAGTGGAAAAACCGAACCACTGACAACAGAAAGGCTCCAGTGTGTTTGCAGACAGTGTGTCCCCTGAAGAAGTGCTGTCTTACAAACACACATATATTCTATTTTATTACTTTTTTCCTGCTTCATGTTTGTTTGAATATCTGAATTAAGATTACATAAGCTAATATTTAGTGTAGCCCTTACGGAACACACAGTACAAAATCGCATAATCAAATTAAAATTAATCGTATATTACAAATTAAAATTACGTGTAGTAAATTAAATATATAAAAATGGATAAATTACCTACTAAGCCACGAGTATGCTGTGCAGTTGTTTGAAATATCCTAAAAAAATATCCACCTATTCATTTCGATTTATCATAAGTAATTACCAAGAAAATGTTTTTATGAATAATAAATAAAACAATAGATATACATAATTCCAAGAAGAAGAGGTAAGATATTATTTGAATAGACATTACTGGGGCAAATAGATTCATGATTTTGCCACTCTCGACCACTTTGGGTTTCCTTGTTTTGTTTTTCAACTTTTTTTCCCTCTCAGCAACTGTGGTTTTTCTAGTTTTGTTTTTCGCCTTTATTTATTTATTTAATTTTTTAATTTCTCGTTGGCAACATTACGTTTTACATTTCAGATCACTTTTGTTTCTTCAACTTCACGTCTGGGAAGTCTTGCAAATGGGCGCCAACATTTTAACGCTTGAAATGTGTCGACTGTTATTGCCATCTCGTATATTTTTGAAAGCAATGAAGTTTTTGATCAAGTAACACAATATTCTATTTCAATATCATCTAAAAATTATAAAAATATACACTACCATTCATTAATTTCAATAAGCCCATGGAGTTTTCCTTTTTTTCCTGTATCCAAATTTGTTCATAATTATCACGTATTATAATACATAATTTTTAATTATTTACGCAATATTTAATTCATGTAACATTTCGCAATGATTGAAGCTTACTTCTATAATCAACGCTTCAAATGCAATTAATTGATTCACCTTTAAATACGTCTTCAATGATTTAATACTAGTTATTTTCACGTGATCCGTAATTAACACTGTAAAATGAAACAAGACAGAGAAAAAATTCTGGAAAAATTGCCGCAGTATACGGTAATGACATTTCTGGTTAAAATAAATAAATAAATAGATAAATAAATAAATAAAAAACATAATCCTGGTATCAAAAACAAAATCATTTATTTAGTGTTACGGTATTCAAACATTCATTTTATAATTTTTCCCTTCATATGGGAATGGTTTGCCGAAAATTCTGGTTTCTTATCTCTTATTAGAACTTATTAGAACTTAGAATCTTATTAGAACACATATAGTAAAAATATTTAAAAAAAGTAATTTTAACCGAATAAATGGTTTTATATTAAAGTTATGATGATAAAATTACCAAATTTTATCCCACTTTTAAAACTTTTATCACACATTATAAAACCTTTATTGTTAACTTTACAAAAACCATTGTCAAAGCGCTTCGGTAAAAATGACTGATATATTTAATGTACCTATGGAGCCAGACACGCTGTAAATTTGACCATATTCCGTCTGTTTTGAGCGTAATTTCCGTAATTTCTTTCTCAGTGAATTAATCACATTAAAGAAGTACCGTATTTTACACGTCTTTTATGACAAAAAAATATTCGTGGAGAAAAAGAGGTGAGCTGAAATTAGCGAGCAATAGCGCATTTGACTAATTGCATTTTCAAAACCTTGGCGAGTTCAAAACAATCACAGTCATTGTTTTCAATTCAAAGTTTATTATTTAACTAAGCATCTAAAAATAATTCAAAATTTCTTTATAAGAAAACTAATTCATTGGCTAATAATTTTAGTCAATATTTCTGTACCAAAGAAATAAGTATTTTAATTGATTCTAACAATTTATAATGTTTACAGAAAAGCTAATTAACAATCGAAAAAAATTTAGATGACTTGTTAGGATTTCACACACTTCAAAAATTACGTGATGTTCACTTTAAATCATTCGATTTTTACAAAAGCAATTTCGGGACTTTTTACATCGTTGTTAAAATTGTTTCGAGCCGTTTAACAATGCCAATAATTGATGTTTAGTGGTACAAATCAGCTTACAATAAGCTATGGTTAAAAGCAAAAAAGATAAAGTAGATTACTTGGCCACATTCCCTGCCGGTTCAGGAATAGTTTTCAACAAGTAAAAATTGAATTGTTGTTTCTGATAATCTAACACATTCCATAGAAAACTTGAGTTAGTAGGAAGATACTGAAAGAGAAATGAAAATTATCAAATTATCTCTCTCTCTATATATATATATATACATATATATAACCTAAAATATTGAGAAAATATGGAAAAAAAAATAGAAATAATGACAAGAGAAGAAAATTAATAAAAAATTTTTCAAAAGTATTTATAAAATAGAATTTTTGATTATCTAAAAGAAGAAAGAAAAAAATTTAAAAAAACTTAAAAATCCGGAAAACAAAACAAAGAAAAGATATAATCTCTTCATCAGCCCACACGATTATATTCGCAAAAAGGAGTGCTTCCTAATGTTGTATTAATATAGCCAAAGCAAAATATATCAATACAATAGTGTGAGGAGAACTCAAAAAATTGATATATATATCGTTTGTTATATAGCAATAATACGGTAGTACAAAAATTTAGTGAGGAAATATAAACGATAGCATTCGAACATAATAATATGTATAGTGCGCAAAAAGAAAAGGACCATAATTCCTGATCTAATGATTGGATTTACGCGGAATGATTTGAAGCCTTAGTTTAACCTTCAACATACTTATAAACTTGAACAAAGTTACGAAATTAGACTCAACGTGCATTCTCCGAAAAGCACGGCATTTCCCCCCCTCATAACTTGGGGTATAGCAGGTATCTGAAATTTTTTTTTGTTCCAATATTTTTCGCAAAAGTGGGATTGCAAAGTAAATAGGGGAGAGTCGGGTAGCCCAGCTCACTTAAGGAGTATTGCTTATATTTCTGTATAATATTGAGTAATAATTAATATTTTTGCATGTTTCTATTATTTTATCGTCTAATTAAATACTGCAAAAAGAATAAACCAAAAACGAATAGTTTAATTTAAAAAAAACATGTTTTTTCAGCTCTTTTCTAAATGTGTCGGGTAGCCCCGCCCAGTTACAAAAATTATGTTTTTTTACTGTTTTTTTCAGGTGTAAATGAGAATGACCAATGTATTGACAATAGATAAACCTCATTTATCATTTTTATCACAAAATTATTTTATTTATTACATATTTATATACTTTTAGTGAATTCTATCATTTAATAACAATCATTTAATAACAACAATATTTGTTGTTAAAAATGCATATAACATTCAAATTTGAAGCAATAAAATAATAATCTTTGCAACCGTACATTTATCGACGAAATAAAATTGGGCGGTGATACCCGACATTCATGTGAGCGGGGCTACCCGAAATCCAATTTTTTTGTAAATTTGTAATTACTCGAACAATTTTTTACATACAAACTTCTTTCTTTGTGCAAATTAAACTTAAGACTACATACTTTAATGCTGTATGTATAGAAAAAATTATTTTTTTAGTATTAAAATGAAGTTTAATCGAAACATTCAACCAATTTTTCTTAATTTCATGACTACTGTATTCAACATATTTTCAAAACTATTGTTTACCATGTTACCAGCTGCATAAATACTTGAAACTTTGAAAATAATCTTTTTTTAATATAGCAATTTCTGTCTGATGGCCCATTGACTTGAAAAAATATTCTATACATATGAAATTGACAGTAGGCGGGGGTACCCGACACTCCCCCATATATAAATAAAAAAAGAGTTGTATTTATAAATTTTTATTTCTTAGAACTATTTCGACCGATTCAAATTTTGGACTTTGTCGTTTAAAAATACATCGTTGAAAATTATGTAAAAATTCACGTACCTTATTTAATAGAAAATCGACCATTATAAATAAAAAATGATAAATAATTATAAAGTTTATTTTTTAGGTAGAAATATCATTGTACGTATAAAAGAGTTTTACATGTGTTACAAAATTATTTGAATTTAGAGAATTATTTTAATTGTTCCAGAGATATACGCAAAAAATAATTTTAGTTATAAGGAATCCGAACTTCCGACTGCTCTCTTGGCTAAATTATTAGGACCATATCTTTCGGATTACGACCATTCTCCATAAAGTTAAGCATACTTTTCTTGTTCTGTGACGTATTAATATTGTACTTATATTTTTTTTAATCACAAGGAGAAAAATTTTCAAAATGATTTCGTTATTGGTAAAAAAATAGGATTCTAATTGTTTGCAGGACCCAAAATCCACAATATGGTGAGTGCAAATACTTATAAGAAATTTAATATCACTTTAATTTTCAAACGTAAATAGTAAAAATGGCATAGAACAACTATACAAATGGTAAAAAAAAAGTTAGTAATTTCTTTTACTTTTTCCATAAGTCCATCAAATGTACCATCAGCTAAATATTTCATCCATAATAAGTGGGATGTGGCTAAATTTGATAACTGTAAAAATAATTAAAACTTAATAAACTCCATATTAAAGTATGTAAATAAAACTTTGTTTACAACGAAACTTACGAGCACTTAAATGACTTTTTAAATATAAAACCATATATGTATGATGCACAAGCATATAGCGTGAAATAGCAATGATTTATAGCATATATTTATATTTTGAAATCCTTTTATAGAAATAGTTTCTGGATGATAGAAGACTATAGACGATAAAAAATTAATTTAGGATAAATATCACATGATTAATAACTTAACATTAGAGTAACTTAACGTTAGAGTAATAACTTAACATGATTAATAACTTAACTAGACATTGATTAATAACTTGACATTAGAATAATAACTTAACATAACTTGACATTAGAATAATATCTTAACATAACTTGACATTAGAATAATAACTTAACATGATTAATAACTTAACTGGACATTGATTAATAACTTAACATTAACATGAACTAATATTAGAGATCATTTATCAAGAAAAGTCTCTAGATTATAGAAGACGTTCAAATATAGAAACATATTTCAGAGTGAATATTATGTCATAGAACTAACTTAACGTTAAAGATTATTTATCGAAAAAGTCTCTAGACTATAGAAGACGTTCAAATATAGAAACTTATTTTAGGGTGAATATAATATTATTGAACTAACTTATCATTAAAAATCATTTATCGAAAAAGTGCATAGATTATAGAAGACGTTCAAATATAGAAAATATTTCAGTGTGAATTTTATATTATAGAATTAACTTTAACATTAAAGATCATTTATCGAAAAAAGTTTCTAAATTATAGAAGACGTTCAAATATGGAAACATTTTTCAGGGTGAATATTATATTATAAAAATAACTTGACATTAAAAATAATTTATCGAAAAAATTTTTAGATACAAATAGTTACATAACTTAATATTAGACTTATTCATAGAAAAAGCATTATGATAACAACAAGTGTAGTTCATAGAAAAATATTCAAGGGAAAAATTACAAGATAAATGGGTTTTAATTCAAAAACTAACATTTTTTTTCAATTTTCTTTTCATGTTGTCATTCAGCCACATTTGCTGATCTATCAATCCCTTAGCTGTCTCTTTATAAGCCTCAACGATTGTGTGTACCTGGAACAAATATAATAAAAGATTTTTAAATGTGAAGAGATTTAACAGCTTAATTTACTTGATATAATTTACTTACTTCTTTCATTTTCTGTATAGGCAATTTTTTTGAAAAATATATCTGTGCTAAGGGTTGTGGCATGAATGTTGACATCCAAATCGTACATACTTCCCACTTGTCCTTCACGATTAATGTCAGATTGCGGAGATAAGTGTCCAGAAAGGGGAGATGATTTAACAGAAAACTCATAGCAAAGTAATTGGCCAATTGCCTATTAGAAATCGTTCAATTATGTATGATACAAGGTGAGGTTAAAATGTTTATACGCTGTAAACACTATGGTGTAATATCTCTATAAAAATTACGTAGAACATAAAAAAAAATCGTGTGAAGGAATACTTTATTCTAGGTTAGCGTCAAATTGAGTGTTCATATACGATTTAAAAGGTGTAATTTAAATCTAAACACTTAAAATTGAATGTTCTTAACTAAACTGTTTCGCTTTCACACCAAACGAGAATTATTTTCTCTTCCGAAAAGACAAATTTTGGCGCGTTTTGAATAAAAAAATTCGAGAAACGCCAAGCAGAATATTGCCAATTGTTTGTTTACGGTGTGGAATGAGGTGGCGAGAGTTCGTTTTTGGCTTTCATCGTTGATATTCATCTTGATATGATTACTTTTTTGGAAAAATAAACTTTATAGCCTAAACATATAGTAAAATAATTGAATTGCTGCTTTTTCAGGTACGCATTTTTTTTAAAGAAAATCCTTGCACTTTTAATTTTTCTCAACTAATGATAGTTATGATCTAATTTTTAAAATAAGAAAAATTTAAAAACATAAATTCATTTTCTTATTTAGTTTAATTTTAAATGTCTTTGTAATTTACTTCAAATTGAAACTGGATATGAGTACTGTTGAAACATTTAAAATAAGGTCCTCTAGTAACATCAATGATTTCAAGAATGCAGTTTAATACTATTATACTTAAAACTGGCAACTTATATCACGGATTTTTTGTAATTTTTAGGAAGAGTGTTATNATGATGTGTGAATGTGGCCCACCCTATAAACGGGTTTGTGGCAGTGTGGCGTGGGCAATGTTGCTCGCCTCCGTGACTTTGGTTCACAGGTGCCCACTGGGTAACGCGAAATGAGCAACAATTCTGGCATAGTATAGGCAAAGATTCAAATTCAGTGCCTGCCATAGGAAAAAAAAATATTTGAGCTTTACATTTTCTAGTTTATAGTAAATCTCTAAATATTAATTTTTGAAGCATAAAAATTCATCATTCATTATTTATATTAAATAATCCCTTTTTTAAGAATAAAAAATATTAATTAATACTTGTATTTAAAATATTAAACAACTTTTTTTACATTTTTATATTTGTAATCAAAATATATTTATCATACGTAGCTTTCAGAAGACTTTAGCTTAAAATATATATATAAAGAATATGTCTAATTTCGAAGCATTTTTATGAATTTTTTTCATAATATAAAAATAGAACAAAAAGTGAATTTAGGATTTACTCTTGTTTAAGAACAAGTGCAAAAGATTTAAAAAAACTTTTTAGACAAAAACAAAAATTAATTTATTTTTTTTTTGTTTCAAATGATTTTTATATAAAATGCCTTACTTACATTGAATTAAAAGAGAAAAAAAGTAAAAGTAAACTTACCATTATTTCATATAATTTATTTTTATTTTCTTTGCCTCGTTTTACATTAATGAAAGGAAATTCATTATATCCTATTAAGATACCAATAGTTTCTTCTAAAGATGGACTTGTGAAATTGAATCCGTTTGGTAAATCGGGCCAATCTTCCATCCCCAATAGTTTAAAAAATTTCTTAATCGATGGAGCAGAGTTCATTTCCGAAGAGTCTGAAATTGTTGTATAAAGCATAAAAATTAAATTGTTATCCATATTATTCATCTATGTCACAGTCTTGTTTTACATTAAATATAAACAATTATGTAGGGTTATTCATAATTCCCTCCGCCTGTAAACGCCATTTTTCTTTACTACAACTGGTTTCAGTCGTACATGTTACTGCCATCTACCGGCAACTACTTAAACTAAATACTTTCGGAATAGTTTCATGTATTCTCTTTTGCCATATTCGTCTTCGTTTTTTTATTATAACGCTTCGAAACCCCGGAGGGAATTATGAATAACCCTGTACAGATAAACAAAATTATAATAGGGAATTATGATAATAATATACGATACACAAAATATTATAATAAATTAGTTCATTGAACATTAAAATAGAGTTGTTTTGTTTACAAAGTTCATTTTAAATTCCGTTTAAATTCAAGCTAGAGTGAGAAAGTTCATTTATTTAACTGCTGAATCATGAGCTCATAAACTATTAAGAAAATCTTATTAACATTACTAACTCACTAATAAATTATTTAATGAGTTACTTGATTAAAAACTTCATTCGCTTCAAAAATATACAAATTAGAAATAGTAGTCGGCATGTTTCAAGCACTCGAAAACAGGAGTCTGTTTTCATGACTTGTCAAAATGCGATAAATAAAAGTGATCGGAAGTATAAAACGTAAAGTTGACAACGTAAAATTCAAAAATAAAAGTGAGAAGCAAAACTAGAAAATCCACAGTATCCGGAGGGACAAAAGAGGAAAAACAGACACAATGGCCGAGAAGGGCAAATCAGAGTAAAATGCATTTCCACGCGCAGTCGATAGGTAGTGAGAAACTAACCTCGTTAACAAGGGAATCATCATTCATATCAATAAAACAAGATTCCAGGGTATCAAGATGAGCTGATGTGAATGAGAGAAGGAAATAATTTTAGCATTGTCAAAATCGAGTTTATGACCAAGATTTCCGCTATGTGCAGCAATTCATGATTTATAGAATTCTTGATAATGGACATGAAATTTTCAATCCAGTAATATCTTACCGCTTCAGTTTCTTGGGATTATTTATTTAATATTTAATTAGTTCTGTTACACCAGAACGAGAAACGTGAAGAATTTTAAATATCGTTAAAGTAGGTAAATGAGTTGTCTAGATATAAGACGTAGTAATGCTGCTTTTTTTATGTGTGCGTAAAAATTACGAAGGGTACAAGACTATCTTTATGTAATTTTAGAAAAATAATCATCAAAGCATTCTGTATAGGGTGTACAGTAGAGACCACCCTTAATATGCATTTTTTGGAATCCTTGTCAAAAAAGGAAACAAAAAAGGACGAACATTAGGGGCCACAAAATTTTTTTTTAACGAATAAAAAACAAAAAACGACATTTAAATCTGACTTATTACAATAGAGGATGCAGAAGTAATAATCATCAAAGCATCATTGGGGGTTTAAACTTGAAGGTGTTATTTATAATCATCTTTCAACTTCTCTCTCTTTCATCCCGCAATCAAACCTGTCTTTGTGTTTATTACATGCGTCGTCCTTGAATCGTAATTTGTCAGGTTTTGAAAACGTTTCTGTTTTATGTCACTTAAATGACCCCTTATGAGTTTTTTTTTTTTTTTGTTTGTTTGTTTACATTTTCGATAAGGATTCAAGATGCATACATGTTAAGGAAATTCTGTACGGAAAACCCTTTAAGTAGTGGAGTAGAGTTAATTTAATCCTTCAGGAGGGAAAAAAATAATTATTTTATTGCAACAGAAGGTAACAGATTTTTTTTCAAATCCTTATGCTTTTTGCATAACTAAAGAACACTATGCCGTAATACACCGAAGAGCCATTACATTATGACCATCCTGCTAATAACATGTAGAACCACCCTTAGCCATCAAAACTGCTAGCACCCGCCGTGGCATTGATTCCACAAGGTGCTGATAGGTAGTCTGAGGTATCTGGTACCAAGCGCTCACCAACTGGTCCTGCAATTCCCTCACATTGCGAGGGAGTAGCGTGGCAGCATGAATTTGGTTTTCCAAGTAGGACCACAAATGCTCTATTAGATTAAGGTCAGGTAAATTTGGGTGCCAAGACATGATTTGAAAGTCACTGGAATGTTCCTCGACGATTCGACCCTTATGACGTGGTGCATTATCCTGTTGGTAAACACCATCCCTCGCAGGAAAAACTGCTGCCATGAATGGGTGAACCTGGTCTGCAACTATGTTCAAGTAGCTTACAGACTTCAGGGATTGTTCTATGAGGATTATGGGTCCTAATGTGTCCCATGAAAGCATTGTTCCTGGGCGAGAAACTATGAAAACCTGGGCGAGCCCATTGTTATAGATGGAGGGTGATCGTAATGTCGGTGTATGTTAAGTATTGTTTATTTTTAATTAAATCGTAATGATACAAAAACTACTTGATGATAAAATAAATGATAACATAAACTACGATAAGGATAATAAAATGACTAAAACGTCATGATAAAATATACTACTTGTTACATATTGTTGTAAATAGTTATTAAATATTTATGAATTATGTTACTGTATAAAACCATATCTTGAAATGAAGAATACAATGAAACAACTTGAAGCATGAAATTGGCTTTGAATTTTATTTTTTTCGTCTCATTGTGCTTTTGAAATGAAAAGTTGAATAATAATATTTTCCTCTTTAAATTATTCTTTTGCTAACAGCAAAATATTGAAATGAGTTCATCCATTACAATGATAAAATGATAATAATGCAGAGGGTGCGTTTCTTGTTTTTCAGTGCCGCCATCTATGACCAAGAATACAACTTCAGCAACACACACATGTCACAACCCGTTTAAAACTAGATACTTTCATATAACCATTCATTTAATCACAGATCGTAATTTTCACCTGAACCAGAGAACGATCTCTCTCAAGTTTAGTACTCCCAGAGGTATAATTTGTTTTGGGAATTCGGAGGACTTTGTGACACGACCGATTTAGCGTGCACCAGTCACCATTTATACTACAAGGGGAGTCTTCGGCCGGTGGGGATTGAACTCACGACCTCTTAGACATGGGCCCAACGCCCTACCACCTAAGCTATCTCGGCACTATTAAATATTATTATTAAAGCTTTTTGATTAGATTTTGTTCTTAAAAAGTTTTTAGCAAAAAAATTCGATCATTTATTTAAGTGGAACAGTTTATTTTTTACTTTAGTTATTTTAAATTGTAGTTTTTAAAATTTTCATCCGTTAGCAATCGCTTTCATTTTTTTTTAACAGAAAAAAAGTCTTACACTTTGAAATTTAATTTCAAAAGTCCTATTTTCTAAATTTTAAAAACCTTTCATGAAATAAAATGGAAAAGTAAAATATTCAAACATTAAATGAAAATTGTGCATTTATCTATGAATTTCTCAAAAAAATTGAATAAAATATGGTTATTCATACTCGGGTAGAAATGTAACATAGAATTGTCCTTAAGATACAAGTAATGAACTTACCGTAATCTATACATGAATCATAAACTATCCTTATTTTTCCAGATTTAGTAGAACTGTTACTCTCAAGTCCTGATAAAACATCTGAAAATGTAAAATATTTGAAGACAATAACATTAACTCGAGTATTACTCGATAATAACTTTAACTCGAGTGAAGATTTTAACTCGAGTATTAGCATCAATACGGTAAAGTGTGGCAGATTTATTTTTACCTTTCAGATAAAAATTAGTGAACCTGAAAATTGTATTTCTAGTACTGCTTTTTCACTGATTAGTAAAAAAGCAATACTAGAGTATATCTCATCTCTAGTACTGCTTTTCTATGATCAAT